CCCGCTCCTTCCCATTTTACCATTCGATGTCGCCAACAGCTTGTCAGCTTTTCGTTCCCCTACTTGTGTGTCTGCTGGCACTCTGTAAACGTGCTCTCTTTAGCAGCGTCAGCTGTACGCTCCGTTTCTCGCTGCGGCTTTGTCACAAAGCGGTGAACACGTAACTTTCGTCAAAGTACACAGGGATGATCAAAAGCTAATGGCCACCAGTAAAAGGGAATATGAGAAATATAATCTTTCTATTTTCCTTTTTTTTTAATTCTTTTCACCGGTTAGTACTTCCTGGGAAGACTTTCTCGAGATAATCCAGCATTGTTAAGGAATCATAGAACTGTAAAATTATGACCTTTAAAGACCATCTACTCCACCCTCCCTGCCATGGGCAGGGACATCTTCAACTAGATAAGGTTGTTCAGAGCCTTGTCCAACCCGACCTTGAATCTTCTCTGACTTCTGGCAGTTCAAGTGAACTTATACCAAGAAATTACCCTTACCCAAAAAACTTGTCGCCTCCTTTGAAGCAGACTTATGGAGCACATCTTCCCCCCCTGCAGAGGTTTTGTACCTTTTGGACTCCCTGCCCTAGCCTTTGCTGTCGGTTCAGTGCAATAATCCTGGTCTGCGAAGCCAGATTATTCCGCTGTGCCTGCTTGCCACCGTCTGTTGAAGTTGAAGCACCAGCTTACAGGCTGCACAGTTAGTTCAACACTGACTTTAGTTCTTTTACACCTCTTGGGTAAATACCATCTGATCCCCCCTGGTTTGCAGCTGCCTCATCCGTGTTTTCCAAACCGTCTCTTGTCAGCTCTGTCCCATAACCTTCCCTGATGCTCACCTGGAGTCGAAGGTGGTTTTTCTTCAAATTGTGGTGCTCAAAACTGAGCTGGAGTCATGAGCTGAGAACTTGTGAATACTGAGGAGAGCAGCAGTATTACCTGAATGGCTAGCAGATGGTGTTCCTTGTTGTACATCTCATTATATATGTTTTTTTTCACAGCAGCACACTACTGCTACCTCATCCTCAGCCTGTAATCCAGTGTTTCTCCTCTTCCCACCCCATCCTTTCTGCTGCTTTGTATTGTTTGAAGACCTGTTTGCTAACTGGTTTGTTGGAGGCATCTTTAATGGTGGCAAAAGGGGAAAAATTGATGGGTTTGAAGATGGTTGGCTTGCAGTTTCAGAGCATGGAAGCCATAATATTGATGTGACCATCACTGTATACGCTCTCTGGGCTCAAAGCTCTGGAAAGGATAAAAGTGGTTGCAGCATCTGTGATTCTTTTTTTTTTCTTCGCTGGTCTTTGGTTGTTTGCTTTTTGTGTTGAGTTTTTTTTTTTTCTGTTTGCCTATTTTATTTTTTTTTTTCCTCCTCCAAAAATGGGGCCCATTTTCAAGCTGGATGCTTTCACATGGGTTCTTCTCCCAGTAAGACCAGACCTGGGGTCTTTAGCCCTTTCAGTGGAGCACACCGATGTAGTAAAAGCGTCGCTGTCCTGGTGTAAGCAAGGGTTCGGGGGCCTGGGGAGGCAGGCGGCTGAGCGCAATGGGTCCCCCACGGTCTCCTGCCGGGAGCAGAAATGCTCTGAGGCTGTCTGAAGGGAAAGCCAGGGCTCTAGAGAAGAATTTTCAGGCAGAGGAGTGAACCATCTGGGCTCCGCTCGCCCTGGCAGGCTGGGCACGGGGTGAGGACAGACGCTGCCCTTGCGTGCAGAAGGACAGATGGCACGCCGCTCCCAGGTCCAGCCACGGCCTTCAGCGCTCGCCTCCGTCACTCACTGCATGCCTTTGGCTTTACGAGGCCAGACGGGGAAGGGCTGCAGTGACACAGGGTTGGCATGAGTGGAGCTTGGCTGCTGTGGGTGGACGTTTTCATACTAAAGGTGCCAGGATTTGGGGCTGGGAGACCCAAGTGGGAAAGCAGACGTGTTTCTGCCGGGGTCCTCTGAGCCCTCTTGCAGGGACCCCATGGGGCAGCACAGCCTCAGGCTCTTTGCAAGGCAAAATTGGGCCGTTCCTGGCGATGTAACCCAAGCACCCCAGGGAGCAGAGCCCTTCAATGGGAGGCAGGGGCCCGGCTCTCTTGGTGGTGCGATGCCGCCCTGCCTGCGACTTGGAGCCTTCCCAAGCGGCTGTCAGTCACCGTCGCTGGCCCTGTTCTCACTCACATACAGTATTATCTCTACCCGCTGCTGCAAATTGGCTCTGAGCAATCCTTGATCTGTCAGCATCGCCTACCCACTCTCAGATGTCACCAGCCCCCGCTGCTGCCCTACTCGGTAACGTGTCTCTCTGAAATGTAATAATTCATTAACTTGAGCTTAACTTTTTTTTTTTCCCACCTCTCCTCTCTGCCACCCCTTTCTCCTTCTAATGGACAAAAGCAATTAAGCTCCATTAGGGATCAAGCGTGTGGGAAGTCTCTCCCTCGGAGACGCTGCCGCAGCGGCATGGACCTTATCCCTCGATGCGTGTGGAACCAGCTTCTTGCAAGTTAGGGCTCCATACACAAATAGTTGGGTAGAGGGAAACGGTGCTTGATGAGGGGGGCACTGGAAAAGCTGTCCCATTCCCTCCTCTGGGAAAAAGTGATCTGAAGCTCAGCTGGTCCTTCTGGCTGGGTTTCATCATGGACGCATGATGGTGGCTTCTCTTGCTGTCCAGCAAAAGGAGACACTGGCCTTAGCAAAGAAGGAGCTGGAAGACAGAGGCATGGGCAAGCAGGAGCTGGCAGAAAGAGGCCGAATTCCCAGCTGGTGTAAAACAGGGGAAGCTTTTCAGGTGCTCCCTGTCGCAGAATGTATCTGCTGGGTCTGGCTGCAAAAGTTCTGCAAAGGTGATGGCTGGCATGGGGTTATGGCTCGGGAGCAGAGGTGTAGCGCACGGGAGGGACAGTGGACCAAACCGGAGGGAGAGAGGCAACTTCCCTGCTAACTCTGGCTGCAAACAGCATCTGCTCATTTCTTGACATCCTGAATTTGGTAACAAAGGCCGGTGAGGGCTGATGGCACAGCCAAAATGATCCTGCCTTTCTTCCAGCAAGGAGGGTTTTTGGCATGGTGTGCTCAAAACAGAGAGCGCATTTTGCTGTTGGCTGTGGGAGGTCCTTCCTTCTCCCCCGTCTCCTCCCGCCCTCGTTCCCTCCACTTAGGCTGCTTTTCTCTTCCTTGCCTTTTGTTCTCTCCCTCTTCCCTGCCCTAGGAAGAAAGTCTCATTTCAGTCTGAAAGCCAGCAATGGAGGGGGAGAGTCATTTGATGCTTAATGCCAGAGCGGCAGGAAACTTCACCTTCCTGGGGTGGAATTAAAAACGCTTGAATTGTCTGGGGATCTTAAACAAGAGATGCAGGGAACATTCAAGGCTTTTCACACAAACACACGCGCACATACACACACATGCACGCGAAAGCCCACACAGCACTAAGGGTGTAATAGCTCAGCTGGGGTAATGCACTTGAACTCTCTCTGCCAGCAGACAGACCAATTCTTTCAGTTCTTTTGAATATGGGTTGGGTTTTTTTGCTGCTAGTCTCCGGGGAGAGAGACGCTCGTCTTGCAGAGAACAGTGCAGTTAGCTCTTTGCAATCTTCCCTCGGAGCAGCCCAGGACCGGGAAGGGCTGGGGGCATGGGCTGGGTTCTTCCGTGCAGCTGGGACTCCACGACTGCCAAGGCTTGGGGATGGGACGGGGAGCTGCAGCCAGCAGATCGCATCATCCTGATGCTGTTGCAAGGAAGGGTGTGCTGGGGGGATGTCTGGTGTGAGGGATGCTCCTTGCGAGCGAACGTGGTCATCAATAGAGCTATAACGTGTGGGTTCAGATGCCTCAGTAGTGTGGCGAGTGCAAGCGCAAGGTATGGGACCTCGTAGAAGCAGGTCCGGCTGCGTCGTCTCACGTATAACCCATGGTGTGGGTGGGAGGTTGCCTACATTGCCACCCCCAAAATTCCTGCCAAATATTTCCATTTCCCTGGTAGCGTGTGATGGCCTTTGCAGACATGCTTCGGGCTTTGGGTGCTTCTTCATACAGGATGGGTGAAAAACCTGCATGGGTCTTCTGCGTATGGCCAGAGGCGTGTGTAAACCAGAAAGCAGACCATGCTCACCAGCTTGGTCTGTGTTTTAGCAGCATGTGAGAAGATCTATAGAGCCCTAGCTGCATAAGGGTGTCTTTGCACAGCTCTAGGCTGGGCTATAGGTGAAATCGTGTCTTGCGTACTGAGGAATGTGTTTATGTGTGTGCTGAGGAGCGCATGTGAGCATGTGGACACCAGTACATCTGTGCACCACGTATGTTAGAGGCTGCACGAGGGGTGGGCACAGCGTTAGCTCCGTCCAGTGTTGCTCAGTGTTTGGCCCTGGGCAGGCACATGCTTTTGTCTGTGCAGAGCCCATGAGGTGCTGCCTGCCCTCCTGCCCGCTGCAGCATCATGCCAAGCCGTTATCCTTCTCTGAGCTGGTCACCATGCCTGGACAGTTTGTGTGAGACACTGAAGTCCAGAGAAGGACAGCAGGGATGTCTCAGGCCTGGGAAAACCCTGCAAGAAGAGGCCAGAAAGAAAAAGGATTCAGAGGAGGAGATGAAGACAGGGGATAGGACCTGTCCTCTTCCATCCTCTTGCTGCTGCCTCCCCACAGTGCCCAGTTTTTATTCCCTGAAGGGATGCACAGAAGCTGAGCTGATGCTTGAGATGAGCGGCACTAGGAGCAGCCTTCCCAAAAGGCAGCAGCTCCCAGCTGGGGCTTGAGAGGCTGAGTGACTGAGCAGGGGTTTTGCTCACGTGCATCTGCACCTTTTCTCCTGCCAAGAAGCCTCTCCTCCTTTCTGATAGTTCACCCATCCCTTGGCTGGGGATGGCCATGTGCCTCCCCAACGTGTTCCAGCAGTCCTTGGCTCATGCTTGCCCTTTGTCCTTGCCTCCCCCCCCAGCCCCGTGGTGCCCCAGCCCCCCGTGCATCCCACTGCCCCCGGCCATGCTCTCACCGCCCTCCTCTGCCCTTCCCCAGGGAGTTTGCCAAAGAGCGCGAGCGAGTGGAGAACCGCCGAGCCTTCATGAAGCTGCGGCGTCAGCAGCAGATCGAGCGGGAGCTCAACGGCTACCGGGCCTGGATAGACAAAGCGGGTAAAGGCTGGTGGGCTGGGGGGTGTGGCAGGCACCGCATGGTCATGCAGCGTGGTGGAGATGGGAAGGGATCCCTGGGCATCATCCAGTGCAACCCCAAAGCTGCCCAGGTTCTTGCGTGGTGGTGTTGGTTGCACGGGGGATCTTGGCCCCAGATGCTCCAGCAGCTTTCCAGCCAGGTTGAGAGCAAGGACACTGCCAACAGCTGATGCAACCTCGTGTTCCGTAGCATGAACCTGTCATATTTTGAACGTGAGGCATGATTCATCTCCAGGGGCAGCTGTGAGCATCGCTGATGAAAGTTTTGCTCTGCGATGGTTTCCTTGCTCTTGGTGTTTGCCGGAGTCTCCTGCAGTGGTGGGCAGGGGGAAAAGTAGAGCAGTGAATGGTGATAGTGGTTTTCCAGCTAAACCGGCTCCTGGAGCAGTCTGGAGGGGACGCATTCGCTGGTTCCCAGCTCAGGGCTCCCACCTCGACCTGGGTGAGGTTTGGGCATGGTGGAGGGTTCCAGGCTTACTGCTGACACA